TTGATCTGATAACTGTTCCAGTTTATAAATCATCAAGCACAAACCGACCATGGAAGGAGGATAAAGATCGATCAGGATGGTGTCAGGGATCATGCAGAAAAGTGAGCAGATGGGTGGTACAGCAAGCTCCACATCAAAGAGACCTGACAGTTGATAGATTAGTAAAACATAACACAAGTCTGTGTTTCTTTCCAATCTAAAATTGTCGATCAACAATCTTGTTCCGTGAGAAAAACTCACACTAGTCTCTTGTTTCCAAATGGAACATCTGACAGATTTGTATGCTGCATTTACTAGCAGTCAGCAATTACTCAATGAATGCAATTTTTTTCAAGATGGCGGGTGACAGCACATAGTGAACTTTACTTTTGTCTTCCAATGGTATCAATATAATCTACTCTCCTGAAAATATGAAGCTTAAAAGAGCTGTAAAATTTTATTTGGTGGTAACCAACTTATAGATAACACTTAGAAGGGAAAGCTACAGTGTACTTTATTTAACGTTAACAAACTTGAGTTGCTTGTTTGCTTGACCGGAAATTGTGAGCAGAATTGTCTTGGAGAGAGAAAAAAGTTTCCCATTTGCTGGAAGTTCTAGGCAGTCAAACAGGAATTCCAAAGGGTATGAAAAAAAAATTGGAAATTCGAAAGGGGAGGAGGAGATTTTGGAATTCAGAGGGCATGGGAGGGTAGAGCATTTTGGAATTTCCTAAGGCAAGGGGGGTCAAAATGTTCATGCCACCCATGGTAAGGTATGGATATTTTCTGGAATCACCCAGTGCCTGCCAGGTCATAAATAGGGTAGGGAAAATCGCAGATTTTGTCATAAATACCCCATTTTTCTGGCAGTACCCCCGTCCCCCCCCCCCTCCCCCGGGAGTGGGGATATAGTACTGGTCACACAGCAGGTGAAACCTGTAGGAACAGGCTCCCGGCGAGGATGGAAAAAAATTTGGCGTGCAAAACAGAAGAATTCGGAGAGCGAAGCAATCGGGACGGGGCAGGGGATCCACAGGGGATGCGAACACTATTATCAGCTTTAAGAATAAATGTGCTGTTATTTACCTGTGTCCCTGTGTCTTTTTGAGTCGTTTAGAAGGAATTTGAATGAAGCAACAGCAGTTTATATTTCCGAATATTATCTCGTCTGCCACTTTGTAATCATGACGCTCCGATTAAGTCTCAAGTTTTTAGCGAGGGGAGAGATTCTCAGGTTTCATAACGGCCGCGCGTTAATAGTTAACGGTGTTGATCGAGACTTAAGGCGTAATCGGAGCGTCTTAATCACAAAGCGGCAGGCGAGATAATATTCAGAAATGTAAACCGTCTTCGCTTCATTCAAATCCCTTCTAAACGACTCAAAACGACACAGGAACACAGGTAAATAACAGCACATTTATTTCTACTGCTGACACAGTGTTTGCGTTACCCCCTGTGCGGGCTCTCTCGCTTTATTGTGGCTCACCGGGAGCCTGTTCGCAGGCTATAGCTCGATCAACGGGAGATGCGTACATGTCAGGTTCTAGCTATCGAGACATCCACGCGAAAAGCATTTCGATTCAACATGCGTATTGTACTACTCTCAAATATTCAAACATTACAAATTTGTAAAACAATTAAAGTACTTCACAGCTAAATTCCAGCCCAATATTTCCAAAGAGGAACATGTTACGAGGAGAAAACAACTGCATCATAACATCCTAAGCCAGAAGCTCACTTTTAAAGAAGCTTTAAAATAATTATGTCAGCTTTGCCATTATAAGCTACTTACCTTTCTCTCTGAATCTGGGCACTCGTGCGACCCTTGACGGTTGAACTCCATCGCTGATTCGCACTATTCAGACTATTTCACTTTCCCGCATTCAGACAGCCAGCAGCTTTTCAAAATTCCATAAACAATCACAGTTATTTCTGAAGATCATCAACAGTTAGCGAGAAGAAATCGCAAAATTCAACGCTGCTTCGCCTTCCACCGTCCCTTAATTTGCATTGTTATTGCTTTTGTACGGCACGAATGGGAAACTGGGACACCCCAATAGTACTGTACGTAACGTCTATTTTTAGAAATTGACAGCACATATGTGCTGAGGAGTAAAACAAATACGCGGAAAGAAAATGCCTTTAAAATCTATCTTGAGCCGTCGGGGTAGTGAAAGAATAAATAGAACCATTACACGAATATTGTCGGTAAAATCCAGCTACCTTATTACATGAAATTTTCGCGAGTGAGACACACTTTATTTCTTTTTCAATGTTATTTAACATGTCCCTGAATTTGATCAAACAACTTAATGTCCAAATAAACAGAAACGCAACTGATTATGTAAACAGTAACAAGAAAGATGTTCTCACAGTGTCTACAAGGCACGGTTCATGCTTGAATTCAAGTCACGTTTTTAGTGGTCAACGTTTGTAGTTCATGCTTGAATTCAAGTCACGTTTTTAGTGGTCAACTGACCTCATTATCCATGTACATTAAATATTCCTTTCTGCAGACTCCAAAGAGAAAATGTTGCCTTTTAGTTTCCTGACTGATGCTGTTTAATTGTTTACGTAAATGTCTTGATACGGATCAACAGGCGGTAGCACTTCGTTTCCAGAGGCGACAGTAAGAATGGAGGCATCTACCAAGAACGTTGAAGCAATTGAAATTTAAGCAACTGGTGGAACAACACCACAAGGAGCCAGTAAATGGACAGTTTGAGGATTGTACAAAAGAAATGCTACCTGGAGTGGAGACGCAAAGCAGTAGTGATGAAGAGGACCAGAACATTACCACAGAATAGTTCAAAATGATTGTTATAAACGTGTGTAATGGTAATAAAGTCGCTCTTTTAATTATTGACATAATGTGAGTCACTTAATTTTCGCGCCCTGTTAATTTCGCGACATTTAATTTTCGCGTCACTTAAATTTCGCGATTTTTTTTAAATCACGAAATTCGCTAAATTAACGTGTCGCGAAAATTTCATGTAATAAGGTCAGTCATGGGGATGCCAAAGAGCGAGTCGGAAATATACCGGAAGTGTAAAAAGCCGCCGCCTAGCTTCTCGGAAGAACGGGAAGTAATTTACATACAAAATTGTTCAAGTACAAAGTACAAGTGGTTATGATGACAGCAGCCATTTTCGTTTCAGTTGAAAACTACTCCTTCAAATATATCCTTTTAGGAATATTTCTTTCTTTTTTTTTTTCCAGACCGGAAAAAACAAACAGCGCAACGAGTCGCCCGCCGACTCTTGAACTTTGCAACTTGCTAATTTCGGATCTGTCATGACTCATCAGCGCATTAATCTGATTAATTCAACAAGAATCATCAGCAATGTAAATAGCTATCTCCTTTTGGCTGGGAAATTGTATTAATCTCTTGACTTATTTAAGCTCCGTAAGCAAAATGTTTATCCAAATTTCAGTTTCTCGAGGGCAAAAGTACGTACTGTGACCACAGCTTGTCAATCAATATGAAAACTTGCTCATACAAGGAATAAATGTTTCAAGGGTACATGTAGGTCATCTAATTAAACTTAAGTAGAAATTTTAGATGCTCAGAAGACGTACAAAGTCATGTACATTTCTAAACGCATCAGGCCTAAAAATTGTTTCTACTTATATATCCAGCCTCATGTAGATCCGATCTTGAGCTAAGCGGGGGGTGGGAAGGGGGGGGGGGGGGGGG